ACCTGAAGCGTATGTAGCCTGAAGCATCTGTAACCCAAGGTACCACTGTGCACAGCTTTAAGTTTCCCTACATCATGCCTTGGTTGTTTCAAGGCATGGAAACACCCCTTTCTCCTCTGGTTTGACAGTTTCTCTCCCCAAGGCTCTTGGAGGAAGGGCAGCCTGTGTTGCAAGCCCACCCACCCACTTCGCGTAACGGCTCACATCCTGCTTGATGCTATCAAAGGAGCCGAGCGCTGCAGCTGTATCCTCTGCCAAAATATTTCAGCTTGCGTTCTCCTTCCTCTCTAAGCAGTCTCCCGCTTTGAGCTGCGGGATGCAGGAGCCAAGCAAGGTGAGGCCACAGGAATTCACAGTCGAATCTCCTGCCTGTTTATAACGGCGTTTACATTGCACTTGAGGTGGCATGCATGCATCTTTCCCATGTGCGTGCCTTTGTCGCGCCCTGTTGGAACCTCCTGCAACTGCGACGAGTCCCGGCGGGCTATGTGAAAAGCCAATGGGTCTTTTGGAGGGTGTGACGGGTCCTCTTGGGCTTCGGGACACCATGTGATGTCATGCACACGCTACGTTAGGTCAACCGGTCAGGCACCCACAGTCAGAATTTTGTGGGTGCCTCAGGACCCAGGCCCCGCTCCCCGAGTTGGCGCCTATACCCTGGAGGCTGCTGTAGTTGTTCCTTTGTCTGTAATTGCTATGCTTTGTTTGCTTAATAATAATAATAATTTATTCTTTATACCCCGCCCATCAGGGACGCGGGTGGCTGTCCTTTTTTTGTGTTGAATATGTGCTATACAGTGGTGCCTCGCAAGACGAAAATAATCCGTTCCGCGAGTCTCTTCGTCTAGCGGTTTTTTCGTCTTGCGAAGCAACCCTATTAGCGGATTAGCGCTATTAGCGGCTTAGCGGCTATTAAAGGCTTAGCGGCTTAGCGGCTAAAAGGCTATTAGCGGCTTAGCGGCTTAGAAAAAGGGGGGGGAGCGAAAAAAATCGTTTTCGTCTTGCGAAGCAAGCCCATAGGGAAATTCGTCTTGCGAAGCACATCGAAAAATGGAAAACCCTTTCGTCTAGCGGGTTTTTCATCTTGCGAGGCATTCGTCTTGCGGGGCACCACTGTATGAAGGGACGCAGGTGGCGCTGTGGTCTAAACCACAGAGCCTAGGGCTTGCCGATCAGAAGGTCGGCAGTTCGAATCCCCGCAACGGGATGAGCTGCCGTTGCTCGATCCCTGCTCCTGCCCACCTAGCAGTTCGAAAGCACGTCAAAGTGCTTAATGGTAAGGATTTGCTGAACTAACAATTTGAATTGGAATACAAAAAAGGGAGGTATGAGGAGGTCCGGGAAACATGTTAAAGGAAAATGAGAAATGGAAAATCTGCATGTTTTATTTTTTTCTTTTTTCTTTTCTTTTTCTTTTTTCTTTTCTTTTCTTTTTAATTATTTTTTTCTGTATTTTTGTTATTATTATTTACTCTGCCTTTTCCTTTTTACTGTTATTGTATTAAAAACCTTAATAAATATTCTTTAAAAAAAAGAAAGAAAGCACGTCAAAGTGCAAGTAGATAAATAGGTACCACTCCGGCGGGAAGGTAAACGCTGTTGCTCTGCGCTGCTCTGGTTCGCCAGAAGCGGCTTAGTCATGCTGGCCGCATGACCCGGAAGCTGTACGCCGGCTCCCTCAGCCAATAAAGCGAGATGAGCACTGCAACCCCATAGTCGGTCACGACTGGACCTGATGGTCAGGGGTCCCTTTACCTTTACCCCGCCCATCTGGCTGGGTTTCCCCAGCCACTCTGGGTGGCTCCCAATCGAGTGCTTAAAACAATACAGCATTTAATATTAAAAACTTCCCTAAACAGGGCTGCCTTCAGATGCCTTTAAAAATAGGATAGCTGCTTATTTCCTTCACATCTGGTGGGAGGGCGTTCCACAGGTCGGGCACCACTTCCAAGTAGGCCCTCTGCTTGGTTCCCTGTAACCTCACTTCTCGCAGTGAGGGAACCGCCAGAAGGCCCTCGGCGCTGGACCTCAGTGTCCGGGCTGAACGATGGGGGTGGAGACACTCCTTCAGGTATATTGGGCCTTTGAGGCTGTTTAGGGCTTTAAAGGTCAGCACCAACACTTTGAATGGTGCTCGGAAACGTACTGGGAGCCAATGCAGATCTCTCAGGACCAGTGTTATGTGCTCCCGGCGGCCACTCCCAGTCACCAGTCTAGCTGCCGCATTCTGGATTAATTGCAGTTTCCGGGTCACCTTCAAAGGTAGCCCTACGTAGAGCGCATTGCTGTAGTCCAAGCGGGAGGTAAAAGCATGCACCACTTTGGCAAGACAGTTTGTGGGCAGGGAGGGTCTCAGCCTGCGTACCAGGTGGAGCTGGGAGACAGCTGCCCCAGACACAGAATTGACCTGCACCTCCATGGACAGCTGTGAGTCCAAAATGACTCCCAGGCTGTGCACCTGGTCCTTCAGGGGCACGGTTACCCCATTCAGGACCAGGGAGTCCTCCACACCCACCCGCCCCCTGTCCCCTAAGAACAGTCCTTCTGTCTTGTCAGGATTCAACCTCAATCTGTCAGCCGCCATCCATCCTCTAACCGCCTCCAGGCACTCACACAGGACCTTCACTGCCTTCACTGGTTCTGATTTAAAAGAGAGGTAGAGCTGGGTGTCATCTACATACTGATGTGCATCTGGATGATATCATTGCCGAACCATCGTATTTCAAATTTGCCCACCTGGCCACCCTTCCTGTGGTTTTCCAGACCTGATTTGTGGCAACAATTTTGGGAGCAGAAGAAGAGGAAGGAAAGGAAAGGAAAACAGCATGTCAATCAATGTCAATAGAACCTGACTAATTGAGGAGGCAATCAAGGGACAATTCACCCTCCAGCCACGCTGAACAGGAAGCAATAAAAGCGGCTGGAACTTTTCAAGGAGGAAACTTGTAATCAACGCTGCTGGGGTCTGCCCAAAAAATACAGTTCTTACTATTTGCTTGTTGGAGAGGCTATAGGCTATAGGTTCCTGGGACTGGCAGCCATTTCCCCTCCTGACATGATACAAATCAGTGGTGTGGTGAGCAGCTATACCCAGTAACAAGCTTGTTGTCCTGATAATTTCACAACACATTATTTTTATCTTTCTTTTTTTAAGAAAACCATTTATATCTTCCTCTGATGTAGATCAGAATGGCGTGAAATAAAAAACCCCACAATAAAATTCAGCAGACACTATAACAAATACAGGAGATAATAGGGCCACTATAATATCTAGGATTCCAAGCTGGAATTAAGATTGCCGGAAGAAATATCAACAACCTCAGATATGCAGATGACACAACCTTGATGGCAGAAAGTGAGGAGGAATTAAAGAACCTTTTAATGAGGGTGAAAGAGGAGAGCGCAAAATATGGTCTGAAGCTCAACATCAAAAAAAACGAAGATCATGGCCACTGGTCCCATCACCTCCTGGCAAATAGAAGGGGAAGAAATGGAGGCAGTGAGAGATTTTACTTTCTTGGGCTCCATGATCACTGCAGATGGTGACAGCAGCCACGAAATTAAAAGACGCCTGCTTCTTGGGAGAAGGGCAATGACAGGCCTAGACAGCATCTTGAGAAGTAGAGACGTCACCTTGCCAACAAAGGTCCGTATAGTTAAAGCCATGGTTTTCCCAGTAGTGATGTATGGAAGTGAGATCTGGACCATAAAGAAGGCTGATCGCCGAAGAATTGATGCTTTTGAATTATGGTGCTGGAGAAGACTCTTGAGAGTCCCATGGACTGCAAGAAGATCCAACGCATCCATTCTTAAGGAAATCAGCCCTGAGTGCTCACTGGAAGGACAGATCATGAAGCTGAGGCTCCAGTACTTTGGCCACCTCATGAGAAGAGAAGACTCCCTGGAGAAGACACTGATGTTGGGAAAGATGGAGGGCACAAGGAGAAGGGGGCGACAGAGGATGAGATGGTTGGATAGTGTTTTCGAGGTTACCAGCATGAGTTTGACCAAACTGCGGGAGGTAGTGGAGGACAGAGGTGCCTGGCGTGCTCTGGTCCATGGGGTCACGAAGAGTCGGACACGACTAAACGACTAAACAACAACAAAAATATCTAGGAAGGCTCAAAACTGATTTTAATAATAATAACTCCCTGCATATTGACATCAGGCAGATGTCTTCATTACACCCTTTTCGGCTCCTGCTAAAAAATATTTTGTTTAGGTAGGCCCACACAGGTATGTAGCGTTTTGATATGTGGTTTCAGCGTATTGTTAATTTTAATCGGTTTTTTAACCCTTCAAATAGCCGTTTTGTACTTGTCATTGATAATTTTGTGCCATTCTTTTTGCAAACTGCCAGTCCCCCAAATAGAAGTCACAGGAAAAAGCCTGGCTTGTGTGTTTGCTGCTGTTACATGAATTTTAAGTGCACACACTCTATAGAAAACCAATCCTTCATTCTTCAAAATGAGGAAATCTTTCTTCTTCTTTTTTGGCGATCCCTTGTATCCAAGTAAGATTGTCTTCCATAAACACGGTTTCAACAGTGAGTCTGTAAGTGACTGTGGAGGCCAATTCTGGATCCACACGTCCTTCCACAGTGGGGACATAGGTTTCTGGACGGGAGTTGATCACGGTGTGGATTTTCCAAGTGTGCCTTCCTCTTAGCGCATTTCTCCCTTTCGCCCTCAATTTGAGCGTCTTCAAAACCCGTGACACCTTTGGTAAAGGCTATTCTCCAATTGGAGCTCTCTCAAGCCAGTGTTTCCCATTTGTTGCATATAAAAAACACTGTGAAAATGCTTTTAAAAAAAAGCTTTGAAAAATACATCAAATTTGGCATAGCTCACTTCCGCCATCTGGCGCCACGTTTATGTATTGCACTTTGCAACACATTAAAAACGTTTTGTTTGCAACTGTATAGCCGAGACCCTGGTCTCCAGCCACATTTAGGCCTTTGCTCGTCTTTTAAACACATTCTCCTTTCTGTATCTCCTCAGGCAAGGAACAAGGAGACGGGGAAACTGGCTGCTATCAAAATCGTAAAGATGGAAGCAGGTGAGCGAGGAAAACGACCAGCTACTTTTCAGCGCGCCGCCGTATTGCAAACCGAATGAGCCCTGAAATCCTTTCTCGCTGAGGAGTGCCAGAACTAAGGGGAAGAGCCGCTGTATGCATTTAAAGCAGTATTCAACTTTTCCAGACCCAGGAGATGCATTTTTAACCCAAACAAGCCTTTGGGGCTCCATTTCTTAATCTTTTGCCTTTTTTAAAAAAACAACACACACACAAAAAAATTTTTATTATAAGTTTTCAGGTTTTACATTTCCACATTAACATCTTTCATTACACCCATACATTCAACAATTTCCCTCCTTCCCCTTCCCCCTCCAATGTTCTTTTAATTTACCCATAATTCTTCCATATTCTTATATATCCACCTGAATCAACCCCCCCCCATTTTACATTCCTTTTAAATAGGTTACACTGTTGAATTACCTTAACGCAGCCAGCGTTTTCAGCTGTGTACAATTTTTTGCCATATATTTTGCATGGAGGTTGTGCTCCGGCTGCGACTGACTGTGGATCAGGCCCACAAGCCGGGAACAACCCATCACAATAATTACTATTTATTTACATGGCAACCCCGCAGCTGAAGACCGGCTATTTAAAGCACATTCAACGTTTGAAGCACATTCTTCCTCTACAAATAATCTTGGGAACTGTAGTTGTGCCCCCACACAGAGCTACAATTCCCAGCACCCTTAAGAAACTGCGGTTCCCAGGACTCTGTGGGAGAAGTCGGGAGCTAATAATAATAATAATAATAATAATAATAATATGTTGCCCATCTGACTGGGTTGCCCCACCACTCTGGGCGGCTCCCCACAGAATATTAAAAACACAATAAAACATCCAACATTAAGTTTTTTGAAGATGCTTTAAATGTATAGTGTGGTTTGAGACACCATTTGACGGGTGGAAGTCAGTCTCTAAAATAAATTTGGCTTGGGGGAAAAACATAGTCTGACCAGCTCATTGCAGCAGCATGAGTGCTCTTTCATTCACTGTGTACATATGCTCAGAAACCAAATATTTTTAATTTTCAAGGGTGTTAACGGAGAAATCTGAGGGCTCCCTTGGAAAAAAACCAAGGACACCAGCCAGGAATACCAGAGCAAAACAGCAGCCAGTAGGCTTGGTCTTTATTGAAGACTGTCGCGACAGGACTCCCACCTGCCACCAGGTGGAACAAGATGGAAGCCCCAAACAAAAGAGAACCCAAACTTTTATTAGCTGCTCATCCCCATGTTACACCCCCCCAAACTACATCACGGTTACATCATGAAAGGGGAGGTCTGGTGGCCATAATCTGAGCATCCTGGACCCTGCCCCATGGTCCTCCTTTGTTGTTTGTTGTTTAGTCGTTTAGTCGTGTCCGATTCTTCGTGACCCCATGGACCAGAGCACGCCAGGCACTTCTGTCTTCCACTGCCTCCTGCAGTTTGGTCAAACTCATGCTGGTAGCTTCGAAGACACTGTCCAACCATCTCGTCCTCTGCTGTCCCCTTCTCCTTGTGCCCTCCATCTTTCCCAACATCAGGGTCTTTTCCAGGGAGTCTTCTCTTCTCATGAGGTGGCCAAAGTATTGGAGCCTCAGCTTCACGATCTGTCCTTCCAGTGAGCACTCAGGGCTGATTTCCTTAAGAATGGATAGGTTTGATCTTCTTGCAGTCCATGGGACTCTCAAGAGTCTCAGCACCATAATTCAGCACCATAATTCAAAAGCATCAATTCTTTGTCGATCAGCCTTCTTTATGGTCCAGCTCTCACTTCCATACATCACTACTGGGAAAACCAGAGCTTTTACTATACGGACCTTTGTTGGCAAGGTGATGTCCTCCACCAAACACCCATCAAGTGTAACAAAAGAGATATTTACATTTCCCTGTTTCCCAGCCAAGTTAATCACACCCTTTTGTCTTCATCTGGGTTTGCTATTTCTGGAATGGCTACCTGTCTGGCACTCAGGTATCAGGATGCCAGGGATTATCACTCAGGCAGAGGGGCTGCTGAGCAGCTGAGCTCACATGTCTATATGAATTTCTGAAGTTTTCCCAGTGTTGTAAACAAAAATTGCCCTTTTCCCTTATGGGGTATCCAAGAGCCCATATAGAGTCCTTACATAGGTTCCCTATTGGTAGGAGAAGATAACAGAGGCCAACCAGAGAATATTGAGAAGCAATGCAGCTCGTAAGCTTGATCTTTATTGATCTGTTGCAACAGGGTGCTCCCCTCACCCGCAGGAGAGGAGGAGGAACCCAGAAAATGGTGTGCAAGGCCTTTTAAAGAGTTTTGAAATTCCCACCCTGTAGATCAAGACCACCCCAGAAACATTATGCATACATCACAGAAGGGGTGTAACCTAAGACCACCCCTCAGATACATCACACCTACATCACAGAAAAGGCGGTCTAAAACAGAAATTTGAATATTGTTTTTCTCCTGTTGTTGTTTATCTCCTGTCTGGCAGGTTACTTGATTGGATTTCCTGGGTAGCCTGGCCATTCTTTTGTAGTGATAAATACTTAGTTCCTGGGCCAGGTCACAGGCTCACACCCTATTCCTATCTTAAATGTGCCCTTAAGACAGGATTTGTGAGGAAAGAGACAATGAGGAGGTTTCCCACTTTGACCTTGCAGAGAAAACATTTGCTCAGTTTACGAATCAAAATGGTTCCAGGTTGGCCTTCCTGTGCTGACCTATGTATGTGCTTGGTTGGGACACTTATGAACATTGTTGTTGTTGTTTAGTCGTTTAGTCGTGTCCGACTCTTCGTGACCCCCTGGACCAGAGCACGCCAGGCACTTCTGTCCTCCACTGCCTCCCGCAGTTTGATCAAACTCATGCTGGTAGCTTCAAGAACACTGTCCCACCATCTCGTCCTCTGCCGTCCCCTTCTCCTTGTGCCTTCCATCTTTCCCAACATCAGGCTCTTTTCCAGGGAGTCTTCTCTTCTCATGAGGTGGCCAAAGTCTTGGAGCCTCAGCTTCAGTATCTGTCATTCCGATGAGCACTCAGGGCTGATTTCCTTCAAGAATGGATACGTTTGATCTTCTTGCAGTCCATGGGACTCTCAAGAGTCTCCTCCAGCACCATAATTCAAAAGCATCAATTCTTCGGCAATCAGCCTTCTTTATGGTCCAGCTCTCACTTCCATACATCACCACTGGGAAAACCATAGCTTTTACTATACGGACCTTTGTCGGCAAGGTGATGTCTCTACTTTTTAAGATGCTGTCTAGGTTTGTCATTGCTTTTCTCCCAAGAAAATATATGGTAATGTTCTTATGAACATTACCATGTGTCTAAGACCATAAAATTCCTATCACACCAGTGAGCCAGTGCATAGATGCATTTATCAGTGAATTCTTACATTTGGTATCGTGCAGCAAAGGCCCTTGGAATAGATAGGAAGAAACTGTGACCAAGTGTTTTGTGGGGACAAATCACAAAAGTCACAAAAGCGATTGTGCTGGTTTTGGTATTGGGGTGCATGTGCATGATATCTGCTGGAGGGGCAACCCCCCCACCTATACATAAATTCCTGCAACAAGGGAAGGGGGAAAACACAAAATTTGATGAACTCCGGTTCGTATGAATCTTTTGGGTCCAACTCCCATCAGGTTGGCCCAAGAATGCCCAGGTGAGCCTTCCTGAGGAGATTTTGTTGAGAAGCCTGGCCGGCTCCCTCAGGGGAGATTCAAATCTCCTTTCTGGAATGTTCCGCTTCCTTTTTTTTAATTTATAAAAATGATTTAAAAAGTCTCTAGTCCTGTTACTTGAGGAGAAGCAAGCAGGCTGTATTCTGCAAAATGGCTGACCAAGGAGCAGGCCACTCCAGGCCTTCCTTGTGCTAAACATGTTGCATTAATTCTTAATATTATTATATAATAATAATAATTGTGGGGAGAAGCTAAACCCTTTCGTCCCTCGCTGTAATCCTAACCCTCCTTGAGAGAAAATTCTTGTTAATTTCCCCACGTCAAGACAGACCATATTACTTTTATGTTACATATATTTAGGGTGGGATATGCATTTATTTTGAATAGCCTCTTGTTCTTGTTAGGGGACGCTTATCTGCCTTTCTTGTTGTGTAACACCTATAAAAGATGGAAACAGCTTTTTTAAAAAATGAGAAGCTCAGTGGATTAAAGGCTGAATAGAAAGAACAATATATTTTGGAATAAGAAGTTGCAAGTTTCATGTCCGCCTTTATGTACTCTTTCTTTTTCTTTTATTTTCCCGTGATGGAAATTTCTATTTTTGTTTTTGGTGTGTCCTCACCCCTCTGGGCATGCACGCTTTGCAACGATTTCCTCTTTTTAATTCTATTTTTCTTTAAATAAATAAAAACAAGAACATCCTTCCTTTGTAGAGAACACCCCAGAAGTGTGAGGCAAATTGGATCACTTCTGTAAATAAGTGCTTTCCTAGCACTTTTCCACCTCCTTCAATGCTGAGGTTTGATTTTCTTGGAAATTTGGAAGCCACGTGGCAGCAGAGGAGAGGGCAGATTAAGGTTAGAGGCTGCCAGTTGCCGACTTTTTTGTTGTTGTTCGCAGCTCACACCCACATTTCTTTGGGAAACGCTGCAAAAAAGCGAATTTATTTTGTCGCAGCTGCCGTGCCAGTGCCGGATTTACATATAAGCTAAACAAGCTATAGCTTAGGGCCCCCAAAAAATTTAAATGAAAAAACCCCCTGGATGTACATTTCCAGAATATAAGATAAAAAAGAAATAAAATAAAACCTACATACAGCAACAGTGTTTTGTATTGTGTAGGTTCCTATGATGTAAGTCATGGGCCCCGCTTGCTAGCCTGTTCCCTAAAATATCACTGGTTTGCTCCTTTCTATATATAGGGTGCATACATTCTGCATGGACTGGTTACATGGCAACATGCACAAATGGCTTGAGATACCTATGAGGTCCATAAATTACCAGTACATTTCTGAGCACAATTCAAAGTGTTGGTGCTGACCTTTAAAGCCCTAAACGGCCTCAAAGGCCCTGTATACCTGAAGGAGCGTCTCTACTGCCATCGTTCTGCCCGGACACTGAGGTCCAGCCAGCGGCGAGGGCTTTCTGGTGGTTCCCTCATTGCGAGAAGTGAGGGTACAGGGAACCAGGTAATACTAAAAGGAAAGGGAGTTCATGATGGCTGGGAGTTTGTTAAGAGGGAGATAGTAAAAGCACAACTTCAGGCAATACCAATGAGATGGAAGCATGGAAGGTGCCTAAAGAAGCCAGGGTGGCTATCTAAAGAACTTTTAACTGAGTTAAGATTAAAAAAGGAGGTGTACAAAAAATGGAAAAGGGGGGAAACCACCAAAGAGGAATTCAAACAAATAGCCAGCACATGTAGACACAAAGTCAGAAAAGCTAAAGCACAGAATGAACTCAGGCTTGCTAGAGAGGTTAAAAGCAACAAAAAAGGCTTTTATGGGTATGTTCGTAGCAAAAGGAGGAACAAAGAAACAGTGGGGTCACTCAGAGGAGAAGATGGTGAAATGCAAGCAGGGGACACAGAAAGGGCTGAACTCCTCAATGCCTTCTTTGCCTCAGTCTTCTCCGATAAAGAAAACCATGCCCAACCTGAAGAATTTGGAACAAATGTTTCAGCAGAGGAAACACAGCCCAGAATAACTAAGGAGATAGTACAAGAATACTTGGCTAGTCTAGATGTATTCAAGTCTCCAGGGCCAGATGAACTGCATCCAAGAGTATTAAAAGAACTGGCAGATGTGATTTCAGAACCACTGGCAGTCATCTTTGAGAATTCCTGGAGAACAGGCGAAGTCCCGGCAGACTGGAGGAGGGCAAATGTTGTCCCTATTTTCAAAAAGGGGAAAAGAGAGGACCCAAATAATTATCGCCCAGTCAGTCTGACATCAATACCAGGGAAGATTCTGGAGCAGATCATTAAGCAAACAGTCTGTGAGCACCTAGAAAGGAATGCTGTGATCACCAATAGTCAGCATGGATTTCTGAAAAATAAGTCATGTCAGACTAACCTGATCTCGTTTTTTGACAGAATTACAAGCCTGGTAGATGAAGGGAACGCAGTGGATGTAGCCTACCTTGATTTCAGCAAGGCATTTGACAAGGTGCCCCATGATATTCTTGTAAAGAAGCTGGTAAAATGCGGTCTTGACTATGCTACCACTCAGTGGATTTGTAACTGGCTGACTGACCGAACCCAAAGGGTGCTCATCAATGGTTCCTCTTCATCCTGGAGAAGAGTGACTAGTGGGGTGCCACAGGGTTCTGTCTTGGGCCCGGTCTTATTCAACATCTTTATCAACGACTTGGATGATGGACTCAAGGGCATCCTGATCAAATTTGCAGATGACACCAAACTGGGAGGGGTGGCTAACACCCCAGAGGACAGGATCACACTTCAAAACGACCTTGACAGATTAGAGAACTGGGCCAAAACAAACAAGATGAACTTTAACAGGGAGAAATGTAAAGTATTGCACTTGGGCAAAAAAAAATGAGAGGCACAAATACAAGATGGGGGACACCTGGCTTGAGAGCAGTACATGTGAAAAGGATCTAGGAGTCTTGGTTGACCACAAACTTGACATGAGCCAACAGTGTGACGCGGCAGCTAAAAAAGCCAATGCAATTCTGGGCTGCATCAATAGGAGTATAGCATCTAGATCAAGGGAAGTAATAGTGCCACTGTATTCTGCTCTGGTCAGACCTCACCTGGAGTACTGTGTCCAGTTCTGGGCACCACAGTTCAAGAAGGACACTGACAAACTGGAACGTGTCCAGAGGAGGGCAACCAAAATGGTCAAAGGCCTGGAAACGATGCCTTATGAGGAACGGCTAAGGGAGCTGGGCATGTTTAGCCTGGAGAAGAGGAGGTTAAGGGGTGATATGATAGCCATGTTCAAATATATGTCACATAGAGGAGGGAGAAAGGTTGTTTTCTGCTGCTCCAGAGAAGCGGACACGGAGCAATGGATCCAAACTACAAGAAAGAAGATTCCACCTAAACATTAGGAAGAACTTCCTGACAGTAAGAGCTGTTCGACAGTGGAATTTGCTGCCAAGGAGTGTGGTGGAGTCTCCTTCTTTGGAGGTCTTTAAGCAGAGGCTTGACAACCATATGTCAGGAGTGCTCTGATGGTGTTTCCTGCTTGGCAGGGGGTTGGACTCGATGGCCCTTGTGGTCTCTTCCAACTCTATGATTCTATGATTCTATGAGGGCCTTCTCGGTGGTGGCGCCCGCCCTGTGGAACGCCCTCCCACCAGATGTCAAAGAGAAAAACAACTACCTGACATTTAGAAGACATCTGAAGGCAACCCTGTTTAGGGAAGCTTTTAATGTTTAATAGGTTATTGTATTTTAGTGTTTTGTTGGAAGCCGCCCAGAGTGGCTGGGGAAACCCAGCCAGATGGGCGGGGTAGGAATAATAAATTATTATTATTAAGCATATATTCAACACAAAAAAGCAGTGACAATTTGTTGTTGACAAAGGACAGCTGGACATATAAAGGGCCCCATTACCTTCAGTAGCTTAGGGCCTCATCAAACGGATTTCAGCCATGACGTTAATTGTGTGGCTGAAATCAACATGCAGGGCTTTGATGAAACGGAAAAATAAAGCCCAGCAGCCATGAGAGGAGCACAAAGTGAAGGGGAAGAATGCAACCTTTTCTCTCTCGGTTGCGGACTCAGCGAAAATCCCCCCAAGCTGTGACAATCGCCCACGGCAGTTGTGTTCCTTGGGGGCGGAGGTGGGGAGCTGTGGCTTCTATTTACCGTAAAACAACAACAGCCCTGCCTGTTAACGTGCATGCATTCAATTAAGCTGTGTGTGTACCATGCGTTTCATAGAATCATATAATTGTAAACTTGGAAGGGCACCCCAAGGCTCATCTAGTCCAACCCGCTTCAATGCAGCTAAAGAACCCCTGGCAGACAGCCCCCCGACTTCTGATTGAAAAGTCCGCTGCTTTCCGAGGGAGTCAGTTCCACTGTCCCTGTTCGCGACACTGAAGGACATTTAAAGCAGGAGAATAGGGGATCGTTATTACTTAGGCCAGAGATGTCCAAACTCGGCCCTCCAGATGTTTTGGGACTACAACTCCCATCATCCCTAGCTAACAGGACCAGTGGTCAGGGATGATGGGAATTGTAGTCCCCAAACAGCTGGAGGGCCAAGTTTGGCCATCACTGACTTAGGCCAATACAGTCATACCTCGGGTTGCAGACGCTTCAGGTTGCGTTTTTTTGGGTTACGGACTGCTGAAACCCGGAAGTCCCGGAACAGGTTACTTCCGGGTTTTGGCGGTCGCACATGCGCAGAAGCGCTAAATCACACTTTGTGCATGTGCAGAAGCACTGAACCGCAACCTCCGCATGCGCAGCCGCGCCGCTGCGGGTTGCGAACACTGCAGGCTGCGAACGTGCGTCCTGCACAGATGACGTTCGCAACCCGAGCGTCCGCTGTACACCAAAGGACCAGTCCGAAAGGTTTACGCCATTATAGCTCTTGTATAAAAAGAGGTCATTTTTAGTTAATAGTTGGCATATCGTATGACGCTCCTGTTGTAAGGGGATAATTGATGATATGCGAAAAGTCAGGAAGTCTCTGGAAAATAAGTTCAGGGGAGTTTTGTTAAGGTCAATCAGCTTCTGTTGGTATATTTTTGATGATTTATCTCACAGGCCAATTCATTTTGACAAGCTGAAAAACAATAATAAAGACTACTTAATAATAATTTTTATTAATTTTCAATTAAAATCCAATGATAGCCTCATTATAACAATACCAAATTATAATACCCGTCGTTCAAATACAGAATTATATAATTTAGGTGGCCTCCCCACGTGTTAGAATTGCTGGCTTGATGATTTTATTTATTTCTGCTTCCCAAAATCTTATTAATTTAATTTACATTCCTGTCACAATAATAACCCCTTATACAACAACGGCAATATGAGTAACTTCTATTCGTGTTGACACGTCAAGTGATGTATAGAACTACAAGTAAGGCACTCAAATTGTATCCTTGTTCTTCCTGCGTGTGGCAATTATTCTCTCTGTGGTGTCCTTGTAAAATGTTATGTCTATCTTTTCCCAGTTGTTGCTGTTCTCCTTCACGCCTCTTTCAATAAAGACTATTGAAAGAGAAAATAAATAAAGGGGGGGGGGAACAACCCTCCATTTTAAAATTTTATTTTATTTTTGCAACTGTAGGTTACCTTTTACAGAGGCCTAGTTTGGCCCTAAAAGCACTTCTTGAATTTACTAAACATTTTAAATGCCCTTCTTTCCAGATGATGACTGTGCCACTATCCAGCAAGAGATTCTGATGGTGAAGACCTGCAGCCATCACAACATCGTAGCCTATTATGGGAGCTACATTCGGTGAGAAAACCCCCTGCCTTTATGGTTGGGAAAGGTCCACCAAGAACCCCAGCCAGGCCCAGCCGGTGTCATTTTGTTGCTCTAAGCGTAACCTTCTTGGAGAAGGGAACTGTCAATGGCTACTGGCCCTGATAGCACCTCCTTCCCATAGTTGCCTTTGACTGGACTTAACAGTCCAAGGGTCCTTTACCTGCACTGCCACCAGGATCAGGGGTGGCCCACCTCTGAAAACCTTTAACCAGCAGTCACAAGTGGGGAGTGTGTTGCTGCCCTCAGGTCCTCCTTGTGGACAAGGGACGCGGGTGGCACTGTGGTCTAAACCACTGAGCCTCTTGGGCTTGCCGATCTGAAGGTCGGCGGTTCGAATCCCCGCAACAGGGTGAGCTCCCGTCGCTCTGTCCCAGCTCCTGCCAACCTAGCAGTTCGAAAGCACACCAGTGCAAGTAGATAAATAGGTACCACTGCAGCGGGAAAGTAAGCAGCGTTTCCGTGCGCTCTGGTTTCTGTCATGGTGTCCCGTTGTGCCAGAAGCGGCTTAGTCCTGCTGGCCACATGACCCGGAAAGCTGTCTGCGGACAAACGCCGGCTCCCTTGGCCTGAAAGCGAGATGAGCGCCATAACCCCATAGTTGCCTTTGACTGGATGTAACCGTCCAGGGGTCCTTTACCTTTTTACGTACCTTGTGGACATCCCATAGAGTCATCTGGTTGGCCACTGGGAGAACAGGAAGCTGGGGTAGATAGTTCTTGATCTAGCAGAGTTCTTCTTATGCTCTTACAGTGGTACCAGGATGGTGAAAGCTGTGTGTGTGTGTGTGTGTGCGCGCGCGCGCGCGCTGTGGGGGAGACAGCTTCAAGACTGCTGATGTGCTGTTGAGATTGCCCTGATCCCCATCCCAGTCCTCCCCTGTGTACCTCATTTCACACACAGCCAGCGTGGTGTAGTAGTTAAGAGCGATAGACTCGTAATCTGGGGAACTGGGTTCGCTTCCCCGCTCCTCCACATGCAGCTGCTGGGTGACCTTGGGCCAGTCACACTTCTCTGAAGTCTCTCAGCCCCACTCACCTCACAGAGTGTTTGTTGTGGGGGAGGCAGGGAAAGGAGAATGTTAGCCGCTTTGAGACTCCTTCGGGTAGTGATAAAGTGGGATATCAAATCCAAACTCCTCTTCTTCTACTACTCAGTGACGAACCTTTCCATCTCTGATTTCTCACTAGGTTCAACAAGTTGTGGATCTGCATGGAGTTCTGTGGGGGAGGCTCTCTTCAAGATGTCTACCAAGGTAACACTGATTCCCTGCCCCACCAGTGGCCAGAGGGAATTGGGTGTTTAGACCTTCCTGTTGTTGTTGTTGTTTAGTTGTTTAGTCATGTCCGACTCTTCGTGACCCCATGGACCAGAGCAGCCAGGCACTCCTGTCTTCCACTGCCTCCCGAAGTTTGGTCAAACTCATGCTGGTCTCTTCGAGAACACTGTCCCACCATCTCGTCCTCTGTCGTCCCCTTCTCCTTGTGCCCTCCATCTTCCCCAACATCAGGGCCTTTTCCAGGGAGTCTTCTCTTCTCATGAGGTGGCCAAAGTCTTGGAGCCTCAGCTTCACGATCTGTCCTTCCATTGAGCACTCAGGGCTGTTTTACTTCAGAATGGAGAGGCTGGATCTTCTTGCAGTCCATGGGACTCTCAAGAGTCTCCTCTAGCACCATAATTCAAAAGTATCAATTCTTCGGCGATCAGCCTTCTTTATGGTCCAGCTCTCACTTCCATACATCACTACTGGGAAAACCATAGCTTTAACAATACGGACCTGGGTTGGCAAGGTGATGTCTCTGCTTTTTAAGATGCTGTCTAGGTTTGTCATTGTTTTTCTCCCAAGAAGCAGGCGTCTTTTAATTTCGTGACTGCTGTCACCATCTACAGTGATCATGGAGCCTTCCTACCTGCCCCCATATTAACAACATATTAACCAAAAATATTGTTATGGATGTGAGAGCAGATATTTCATAGAATCGTAGAATCTTAGCGTTGAAAGGGGCTCCGGGGTCCTCTAGTCCAACCCAGGAATCTAGTCCAATGCAGGAATCTCAGTGAAGGCATCCATGACAGATGGCCGTCCAACCTCTGCTTAAAAACCTCCAAGGAAGGAGAGTCCATCACCTCTCATGGCAGTCTATTCCCCTACCGAACGGCTCTTACTGTCAGAAAGTTTTCGCAAATGTTTAGTCAGAATCTCCTTTCTTGCAACTTGAAGCCATTGCCTCGAGCCCTACCCTCAAGAGCAGGGGAAAACAAGCATTTCCTCTAGGCCAGAGAGGGTGGACCTGTGGCTCTCTGTATATTGTTGGACTCCAACTCCCATCAGCTTCAAACAGCATGGCCAATGGGCAGGGATGATGGGAGTGTTAGAATTCCTGCTCCATGATTGCAGTCATGGGATTGTTGTCTTTCACATGACAGTGTATGTTTTGACTCCACAGAGTGGGAAGTGATGGAGACAGGATGTTTGTGTTACTGTGTTCCGTAAAGTGGGACTACAGTGGTACCTCAGGTTACATACGCTTCAGGTTACATACGCTTCAGGTTACAGACTCCACTAACCCAGAAATAGTGCTTCAGGTTAAGAACTTTGCTTCAGGATGAGAACACAAATTGTGCTCCGGCAGCGCGGCGGGAGCAGGAGGCCCCATTAGCTAAAGTGGTGCCTCAGGTTAAGAACAGTTTCAGGTTAAGTACGGACCTCCGGAACGAATTAAGTACTTATCAGCTGAGGTGATGGAGGGCCCATTGCCTGCAGGTGCTCCACTCTCAGCCCCCTCAGGGGAAGCTGAGGTTGCCTCAGGGTCCGGTAACCCTCCAGCCTCTCCTGAGCTGCAGAGGCTCAGGGCAGAGAGGCGGAGGGAACTAAGTTCCCGCAGGAGGAGTGCTCGCCTCCAGGCCAGGAGAGGCGAGTCACCTGAGGATTGGGGCTGCCCTATGCCTCGGGGCAGATAAAAGCCAGCCAGTCCCAGTCCCAAGTTGCGGGAGCAACATTGTAGGTTGCCAGTTCCTGCCTGAACCCTCTCCTGCTTTCCTGCCGGAGCTCCTGACCTCACCCGACTCCCTGCCCTGCTCCCAGCTTCAGCTTTTACCGACTGCCTCCATACTGCACCTTCGACCTCAGACTGGACTCAGACCTCGCCTCTTAGTTAACCCACGGGACCAGCACTGCTAGTGACAGAGCAGAAGGACCCAGGTTCAGACTTAGCCTCTCTGGGCAGGGCTGGGAAATATCTGTGTCCTTAACCCCTGAAGTAGGGATGGGAGGATCTGTCCATTTAGTCTTTCTTCGTTTCCCATTTTCTTAAATTCATTTCTCTAGATTCCCCTCGCAATTGGCGAATTATTATTTTAATCCTCATGAAAATTCACCAGCGTTTGGGTGCAAACAGCCCCTATGTATGCAGTTTTGTATTCACACATTTTTGCAAGCACTTTCCCCTCATATAATGCATTTTGCTTGGGTGTTATCTTCACGGACGTGTTGATTTTTATGTACACCTTCCTCCAATATTTGCATTTTGGCTGGCTGGAGAACTACCTTGCAAAATTCAAGTAAGTGCAAATTTCAGAGTACGGTTGTATTTCGGTAAACATACTGATTCTGAAAGTATGAATAAGGAATAGATCCTCCCTTGAAATGCAAACTTTTAAACCCCTGCTCTCGACAGCCATTGCAAGTCAGTGCGGAAGACTGAATTCACACAAGGCAGGTTCCCATTTTCTGAGCACCAAATATTTGCATTCGAAAGCAGCTGCGGGAGGTAGCTGAGGGGGCAGCAGAGAGGTCCCGTCACAGATCTCCCACATCTTGTCTCTTTTGATCTTGTGGAACTCTTGACAATACTTTCAGGACAAAAACAGTGACCCTGTTAGGTTAAGTACTGCCCCCGCCACCCCCTGCCCTCCCATTTCTGTATTCTTGCATGCACATCCTCCCTGCGAGGGGAGATGGGGCAGGCAGGGAGTAAGACGTGATACCAAGCCGCCTCCGTCCTGAACTGCAGAAGTGAAACTGAGTGTGGTCAATTCACTCTCTGTACCGTTTGAAACGGCACCTGTCTCTAAGGAAGAATGGGACCCTTCCACACACACCCCGATTCCGCTTATATTGCTTTGCATCCTTGAGTCTGCTTCCGTTACTCACGAGGAGGGGCAAAAGACGCTATGGCTGTGCGCAAACCACACACATAAAGCACCCAAACACACAATAATATTGGGAATTGTCTGTTAAGGGCACTGGGAATTGGAGTTGTGGGAGGGGGTAAAACACAGACCCCAGGATTCCTTTTGCTTTTTGGGGTGGGTGGGAATGCACTTTCACTGTGCCTAGGACTTGTCGATCAGAAGGTCGGCGGTTCGAATCCCCACGATGGGGTGAGCTCCCGTTGCTCGGTCCCTGCTCCTGCCAACCTGGCAGTTTGAAAGCACATCAAGTGTAAGTAGATAAATTGGTACTGCTCTGGCGGGAAGGTGAACAGCGTTTCCGTGCGCTGCTCTGGTTCACCAGAAGCGGCTTAGTCATGCTGGCCACATGACCCAGAAGCTGTACACCGGCTCCCTCAGCCAGGAAAGTGAGATGAGCATCACAACCCCAGAGTCATTTATTTGTACCCCGCCCATCTGCCTGGGTTTCCACAGCCACTCTGGGCGGCTTCCAACAAAGATTAAAAATACATTAAAATGTGACACATTAAAAACTTCCCTGAACATTGCTGCCTTCAGATGTCTTCTAAATGTCAGTTAGTTGTTTATTTCCTTGACATCTGATGGGAGGGCGTTGCGCAGGGCGAGTGCCACTACCGAGAAGGCCCTCTGCCTGGTTCCCTGTAGCTTTGCTTCTTTCAATGAGGGAACCGCCAGAAGGCCCTCGGCGCTGGACCTCAGTTTCCAGGCTGAACGATGGAGGTGGAGACGCTCCTTCAGGTATACTGGGCCTTTGAGGCCGTTTAGGGCTTTAAAGATCAACACCAACACTTTGAATTGTGCTCGGAAACGTACTGGGAGCGTATGTACACAACCCGATACTCCCTGCTCACCTGCTCTCCCCGCCCCTCTCTCAAATACAGCTTCTGATACGTTACCCAGGCATTGCCTTAAGGACTAGAAACTTAAATGTCTGTTTTAAAAGGAAAGCTGAGGCTGAAAGTCCTCACAACTCACTAAGGGATTTAATAACGCAATAAAATTCGAAACAGTAACAGTTAATTGCACATTTATTCGGAACCCAATTAGAAGCATTCAGTTTAACTGATCCAACAAAATTAAAGAACGTTGTGCAGCAATACCAGATAGTCCTTTTTACATCTCTATTGCCCTCCTGCTGCCCTCTTGCCTCTTAGAGCCCCCGGGGGGGCGCAATACCACCCACTTTGTGAACCTGTAGTTTAACTCTTAGGCGTTTTATTGTATTCTCCCTAATATGTGTTGCGGTGGGTGGATTTGGTCCTTGGCAATTTGAGATGTTTGCCTCCCTTTCCCCCCTTTTGTGTTTTAGCCCAGTAGGCCCAGCACAATCATAGCAGCACATTAGATCATCAAAAGCCGACCACAGCGCTTCCAGTTCTCACTCTTGTTTTCAACAGCTGTCACCCCTTGACTTCCTCTCCCCCTCGCAAGTGTCCTCCTGGGTTGCTGGCGGAGAGATCAAAAGATTATATTGACTGAGGCTCCTCACTGTGGGGCTCTTTGCTCCGCCAGCTCTGTGCATCTTCTGCAAAGGGGGCAGGCGGCAGCCCTGACCCCAAGGCATTCAGATTTCGGCACCCTGGGCAGTTGCTTTGTGCACCTCTGGGACTGGGCTGGGCTTTGCAGCAAAAGTGGTGAGGGGATCTGAATAAAGAAAAACACGGGTTTCTGCACGCTGGTGGCACCTCAAACAAACAAACAAACAAACAAAAACAAGGGGTTGGGCTACAGAAGAGGCAAAGTGAATTTTGCAGAGGGGGTGTTCCCCCCCCCCCTGCGTGTTAAATGTATGATAGCTAAATAATGGTATAGATAGCATTAATGTTTCCAGCATAAATTCATCTGGGAGAGCCGCAGCTCAATAGTAGATCATCTGCTCTGCTTCGAGATCATCATCATCATATTATTATTTATACCCCACCCAACTGGCTGGGTTTCCCCAGCCACTCTGAGCAGCTCCCAACTGAATATTAAAAACACAAAAAATTCCTTCCAGTAGCACCTTAAAGACCAACTAAGTTAGTTCTTGGTATGAGCTTTCGTGTGCATGCACACTTCTTCAGATACCAAAACACAGTTAAAAACACAGTACACATTAATGTTATGTACTGAGTTGAATAGGATCCAAAAGGCAGCAGTCTGATTGGTCCTAGAACAATAGGATTCAGAATGCAGCAGTCTGATTGGTCCTAGAACAATAGGGTCCTCAATGCAGCAGTCTGATTGGTCCACAGGAGCCACCCAATCCAGCTCCAGGTGGAAGTGAATCCGCAACCTGATTGGCCTACAGGAGAATCCTGAAATTAGCCAATCACGTGGGGCCCATTGTGTGAATAATGTATATAAAGCAGACATTCTGGGGGAACTTCCATTCCTCCTCACCACTATGAGCTCAATAAAGAGCATGAAATCCACTCTCGACTCAGAGTATATTTCAATTAAACCTTAAAAACTTCCCTAAACAGGGCTGCCTTCAGATATCTTTTAAAAGTAAGATAGTTGCTTATTTCCTTGACATGCAGAACGTCCCAGGTTTATTCCTTGACAGGATCTCCAGAGGAAGTGACTCCCTGTGTAAAATCACGGAGAGTCACTGCTGCTCAAATGTAGACACAATTATAATTGTATATTTATTTATACCCCACCTTTTCCCCCTGACAGGACTCAAGGTGGCTTACCGATAAAAAGACTACTGAGCTACTTGCACCAGTTTAACGCAGCTCCCAACATTCCTGTATTTTCTCATGTTGGTTCGATTCTGACTTTCAGCCAGGCGTGTTTAGCATTGCAGCATTATCTTCATTTCTGGTTCGTGATTCAATTGTGATTTTGTGTGTGTGAATAAACTCCTTTCCTTCGAGTAACCACGGGGGTCTAGCAATGAGGGGCGCCCGCCCCATTCCCTCCAACGCCGCCTGCGACCCCAGCTGCGCTTATTATCGCCTTTGCTCATTGCTCTGATCTTCTCTTGCCCTGAACTTTGAAGACAGGGGAAATGCCTCAGGAGACATGCCAGGGATTGGCAAAGCATCTCAATGATGGCGGAGCCTCCTCTGGTCTTTCAGAATGTCAACAGCTCTATGGTTTCGGTCCTCCACTTCGGGATTAAAGATGGCGCTCATCATCTCCCCTTCCTTTTGCAGTCACCGGGCCCCTGACAGAGCCGCAGATTGCCTACGTGTGCCGAGAAACACTGCAAGTGAGTATGAACGTAATGGGTGGGTCTTAGGCCACACCCCCTTGGCAGCCATATTGTGGCTGGTGCCCACGGCACTTTGTCCCCCACTTGCTTTTAAGCAGTATCACACCACTTTAAACTGCCTCAATGTCTTCTTCCCTCAGTGACTCCTGAATGGTTTAGCAGTCAGTCCCTCTTGCAAGGGAACGCTTGGAAGCTGTGCCTCCATAGGGAGAATAAGAGTCTCCTAACCATTCTTAGCTGTTTCACCAGTGTTTAATAAATAATAATATTTTTTTTATTTATATCCCGCCCTCCCCAGCCGAAGCTGGGCTCAGAGTGGCTAACAACAGTAAACAGCATTCTAAAATCAGTTCATTCTAAAATCAGTTCAAAATTTAATTCATGGCAACCATTGGGCTAGAGTTCTGTGAGGATTACAGAAGGAAGGGGTCAGGCTGTGCCTTGGCCAAAGGCCTCGTGGAACAGCTCTGTCTTGCAGGCCCTGCGGAAAGATGTCAAGTCCCGCAGGGCCCTAGTCTCTTGTGACAGAGCGTTCCACCAGATCGGAGCCACAGCCGAAAAAGCCCTGGCTCTGGTTGAGGCCAGCCTAAGCTCTCTGTGGCCCGGGACCTCCAAGATGTTTTTGTTTGAAGACCATAAGGTCCTCCGTGAGACATACCAGGAGAGGCGGTCCCATAGATACGAGGGTCCTAGGCCTTATAGGGCTGGTTAAAACCAGCACCTTAAACCTAATCCTGTACTCCACCGGGAGCCAGTGCAGCTTGAAAAGCACTGGGTGAATATGCTCCCATGGCAGAGACCCCGTAAGGAGTCTCGCTGCGGCATTCTCCACCCACTGGAGTTTCTGGGTCAGTCTCAAGGGCAGCCCCACGTAGAGCGAGTTACAGTAATCCAGTCTGGAGGTGACCGTCGCGTGGATCACAGTGGCTAGGTCAGGGCGAGAGAAGTAAGAGTGCTATGGTGCTGCTTTGAATGTATGGTGCAGGTAGGGCCTTTCTGAAAAACCCAGGAGTGTCGACTGGTCTGAAAAGGTTGGCAAACCATGGTGTACTGTGTGCTTCAGAAACTATGGACAGCTTGGAGGGGCCCCTGAGAGTCTCCTTGTTCATGGATCAAAGTTATATTGCCCCCGTCAATAAGGATGGCTGGTTCCATAATGTGGGTCTTTAATTTCACCCTCTAGGGTCTGACTTATCTTCATAACCAGGGGAAGATCCATAGAGACATCAAGGTAATAACAGATCAAAACTTGGGGCAGGGCCGAGGCAAAGCAAAACACTTATTTGTGCAGCGCTCATTGGGCAAGATTCTTAGCTACTGCAGCTTTTGTTTTTCACTCCTTGCCGGGAAATATGTCAGGCAGCGAAGGCTGCTTCGAACACAGAAAGGGCCCCGTTTCCCTCCTGAAAGTGAAACGGACTATAAGCAAGGTCTGTGAGTGTGGCCCTGGGATGGTTTGTTCATGCTTTAAATCATCACAGCTGTGTTTGCTGAACCGCCACCTTCCCATTTGCATTCTCGAAGCATGTAAACGTTAACTGCAAAATGAACCCCACCGTGACGGAACATGGGTAAAGTCAGATTTTTAAAAGCAGCAACAGTGGCTGGTAGTCGTGGCAGGTCTCTGGCAGTGATGTCAGAGAGGCTCTCGGGAGAGGCAGAAAGGCCCCTGGCTGTCATTGGCCAGGCTGCTGTGACGCTGCAGAGGGGCGGGTCGGTCGGAAGGTCCTAAGGCAGGCATGGCCAAACTTGGCCCTCCAGATGTTTTGGGACTACAGCTCCCATCACCCCTAGCTAACAGGACCAGTGGTCAGGGATGATGGGAGTTGTAGTCCCAAAACATCTGGAGGGCCAAGTTTGGCTGTGCCTGTCCTAAGGAAACAAGGGGGAAGGATCTAGGGAAAGAAGGGAGAGGACATGAAGGGGGTTTGACAAGTAGAACAGAGTGACATGAAGAGGAAGTAGCTCAGAGGAAAAATGAGAAACTCTCATATAGGAAGGAAAACCAGGTCATAAAATGTGCATGGCGATTATGATTACGATATCTTTATTGTCATTGTCCCATGCAGAACAATGAAATTGAAAAACTACATAAAACTACATAAAAACTGCATAAAAACTACATAAAACATAAAAGTTCACCTGGTGGTTGTTAGGGAAATAAAAAACTTAACATGTGGGGAATTCCTACCCTTAAAGTGTGGGGGAGAGCACTGCGTGGAACCCCACTTCAACTGACTGCCTCTAAAGGCAGTGTGGTGCAGTGGTTAGTGTCAAACTAGGATCTGGGAGAGACCTGGGTTTAAATCACTCCACTCGCCTATGAAGCTCAGTGGGCTGCGTCACTCTCAGCTTAACTTACCTCACAGGGTTCTTGTGGGGGTGAAATTAGGAGGGGGAAGAGAACCACTTACCCTCTCCTTAAGCTCCTTGGATGAAAAAGGTGGGATATAAGTAAATTATTTCCCCTGTCGCTTCACATTTCAGGGAGCCAATGTTCTCCTCAACGACCGCGGGGAAGTCAAGCTGGGTATGTCTCACCATGTGTTTTCAGATTGCCAGATCTGCCCCAGGGTCAAATCTAAATTTGACAGGGTCGTGTGTTAAAGGGGATTGGAATTGTAGGTCTGCAAGGGGAAAACTATAGTTCCCAAAATTCCTGGGGTGCTTTAAATGTACTATAACAAAATGAAAATAAAGGGGTTGCATCTCCAACACTGTTCCAACTCAGAGTAGACCTGCTGAAATTAAATGCCATGACTCACTCAGGTCCAGACATTGCAGTGGGTTTACACTGAGTAAAATTTAGTGGGACAGACTCCTAACGTATTAAAATCAGTTAAAGTTATTTATTTATGACCAGAAGGAAATGGGGAGGTGGGACTTCTGGGTTTTCTTAAAACCCACGTACCTTTCCCCAGAATTTGAGCATTGCCCACATTAGTTGGCACATGTCGTTCCACATTCTTCCATTTCTGTTTCTTCCATCTTGCATTCCAGCGGATTTCGGAATCTCAGCTCAGCTCAGCGCCACCTTTGCCCGGAGAATGTCTTTCATAGGGACCCCTTACTGGTAAAAAGGACCAGCTGTTTGGTGGTGGTGGTGGGTGGGTGTGTCGCCAACCGGCTTTTCGAAATGGGTGATGTCTAGATTTGAAGGCAATGGGCTGCAGGGAGAGGGGAGTTTTCCTCAACCAGCCCACCACCACTGTTGATGCATCAGTGTTTCTAAACCTGGGCTACAACCTCCATCAATCCCAGGCGTCCTGGTCAATCATAGACTTGGAAGGCACCCTCTGAAATGCCAGAATCTCAACTCAAGCATCCGTGACAGATGGCCACCCAACCTCTGTTTACAAACCTCCAAGGAAGGAGAGTCCACAATCTCCCCAAGGGAGCTCTTTCCACTGTCAAACGGCTCTTGCTGTCTTTCTGATGTTTAGTTGGAATCTCCTTCCTGGTAATTTGAATCCATAGGTTTGAGTCCTGCCTTCTGGAGCGGGAGAAAACAAGCACGCTTCTTCTTCCATGTGACAGCCCTTTAGATAACTGAAGATGTCCGACGTATCACCTCTCAGTCTCCTCTTTACCAGACTAAACATACTGAAATATACTCGGAGTCCTGCAGTGATTTCATGCTCTTTATTGCAGCTTGTAAAACAGTGATTCCTCCCCCTCCCACCCCAGAACCTCAGGTCTTTATATACATTATTTACACAATGAGTCCCATCTGATTGGCTGATTCTGCTTCCCTCCTGGAGCCTGATTGGTCTTCTCCTGCAGGCCAATCAGTTGTTGCATTCTACGATCCTACCAGTCTAATAGGCTGATTAACTTCCTGCTGGAGGCTGATTGGTCTTCTTCTGCAAGCCAATCAGTTGTTGCATTCTAGGATCCTACCTGCCTATTGTTCTAGGATCCAAGCTTAGTACATAACACATACCCAGCTCCTTCAACCGTTCCTCATCAGGCTTGGTTTCCAGGCCCTTGATCATCTTGGTCGCCCTCCTCTGCACACCTTCCAGCTTGTCAATTTCCTTCTTAAAGGGATGATGGGAGTTGTAGTCCAAAAAGCACCTAGAGGGCACCAAGTCAGGGAGGGCTGCGGGTGGCATGCAACGGAAGGGACTGCCTTTAATCGAAGTTGTGGTGAGTCCCGCACTGCGCATGTGTTCCAGGATGGCCCCAGAGGTGGCGGCAGTGGAACTCAAGGGCGGGTATAACGAACTGTGCGACGTTTGGTCCGTGGGGATCACCGCTATCGAGCTGGCGGAGCTTCAGCCTCCCCTTTTCGACGTACACCCTTTGCGGTGAGTTGCACATCCCCTCCCTTCTCTCTCTGTGCTGTGGGAGGTGGCGCAGGGCAACCGCCTTGGTGCCAATGATTTAATTGGGGGTTGTCTGAACATGAAGTGGGGGCGTGGTGTGTGTGTGTGGTGGTCAGGTGGAATCGCTATGAGGAATTATGAAAAATGTAGCAAGCCATTGTGTCAGCAATGCTTTGACTGGGCTTGAGCCATTTGACATGATTTCTGATTGAATCCCACAAGCCTCTGCCATTTTCTCTCTGCCTGACAGTCACGTATAACGTTTTACACAGACCAGTTGCTTCACCAGGCATTCTGGGCCATAAGGATAGAAGGTAGCTTTGATGTAGATTTTGTTAATCTTTAGGTAGATCTTAAGGGCCAGGAAAGGGACGCGGGTGGTGCTGTGGGTTAAACCACAGAGCCTAGGACTTGCCGATCAGGAGGTCGGCGGTTCGAATCCCCACGACGGGGTGAGCTCCTGTTGCTTGGTCCCTGCTCCTGCCAACCTAGCAGTTCGAAAGCACGCCAAAGTGCAAGTAGATAAATAGGTACCACTCCGGCGGGAAGGTGCGCTGCTCTGGTTCGCCAGAAACGGCTTAGTCATGCTGGCCACATGACCCGGAAGCTGTACGCCGGCTCCCTCGGCCAATAAAGCGAGATGAGCGCCACAACCCCAGAGTCGGCCACGACTGTACCTAATGGTCAGGGGTCCCTTTACCTTTTAAGGGCCAGGAAAAGAGTTCACAAGGAGATGGTAAATACTATCTTTCATTGCCATTCTTCCTTTCCTGTTTATGACCTCCAGGGTTTGCTAAATGCATTCCTCCTTGATTCCTGTTTTATTTACCTAAAAATATGTATGCATGTTCAAAGTAGTCTTTGTAGTTAAAAGGATTTCTCTGATCTAACTTTGTAGGTTTTTTTGAAATGCTCAGAGGAAATCTGATTGGTTCTTACGAGCGCTTTGTTAAAAGTTCTTTTGTTAATAAAAGGGACCTGGGCCAGGGTGTGACAGATTATTATTCGCACTTCCTCCCAGAGTCTTGCTGGCCAAGCCTCGTGTGTATTTTATTAATCAGGGTCCAATCCTTCCTCGCCTTCGGAACACAACAGGGTGTGTGTGTGATGCTGCTGCATAAGAATTAGTGGCTGACAATGTTGGATGGGCAGGGCTTCAAACTAGGTCCTTGCCTCTCCCTGTGACTAGCAGAATAAATTATGCAAAATAAAGGGCGGTCGTGTGGAATTCATGCCAGCAACAGAACCCAGCTTTTGTGGGTGCAGAATTCAAGAAGGCAAGCACGAGGCAAGAAGCCTGCTCATGAGCAGAGAAGGGTGGGCTTACCTCCTTGTCCCACCTCACAGGGTCCTGGTGCTGATGACGAAAAGTGGCTACCAGCCCCCCAAGCTCAAGGACAAAGCCCGGTGGTAAGTCCAGTTACACGCTCAACAATTGCAGGATTGCGGCGAGGGCGAATGACCGGAGGAGTGCAGCACGTTTTGCGTTAGGATTAAGATTATTTATGCAGTTTATCAGCTGCTTGTCACCCAAAGGTCTCCAAGTGACTTATAGCAAAATGAAAGCATAAATATAAATGTTCCACGCCACCCCAATCCCCACAGTAGTGTGAGATTTCAGGGGCCTGTGTTTCCTCTAGAAAGAAGGCACAGCAGAGACGGTTGTGTCCTTATGATATATGGTATTATTTACACAGACAGTGGTACCTTGGTTTACAATCTTAATCCGTTCCGGAAGACTATTCTTCCGGAGGTGTGCTTTCCCTAATGAGGCATCCCACCGCCGCTGCCCCTCTTCTGTTCGTAGACCGAGGTAAAGTTTGCTAAACAGAACACTGGTTTTGCAGAGTTCATATACCGAATAGTTCGTAAACAGTGCTGTTCTTAAAGTGTTACATACACTTCAGGTTACAGACTCCGCTAACCCAGAAATAGTGCTTCAGCTTAAGAACTTTGCTTCAGGATGAGAACAGATACCGTGCTCCGGGGGCACGGCAGCAGCAGGAGGCCCCATTAGCTAAAGTGGTGCTTCAGGTTAAGAACAGTTTCAGGTTAAGAACAGACCTCCAGAACGAATTAAGTACGTAACCCGAGGTACCACTGTATATACAACCTTGGTCAAGAGGGAGGGACTGCAGATCATTCACATCCCAAGAGGGTCCATTATATCCCATCACTGCAGCCTCAGATTCCAAGAGACCTCAAACATCATGTCGGACCCTCTCTGCAGCATAAAACCGACTGCCCTTCTTGTGCTTTGCCCCCCTCACTTTCCAGCTTGCAAAAGGGACACTTTTTTCCCTGTTTGCTTACCTCATCACCCGCTGCAATTCTGGAAGCTTCCCCCTACTACTTCTGGTATTCACTTTCGCTAATTACCCAGAGCTTAGGGTGGGGTCTCCACACTCTGAGAAGGCTTTCACTGATGGGTTAATGATGGGCCATTGTCTTCTTTTGTCCTCCTAATGACCCATGGTTCGTTAGCATAAGCAGAGCCCAGGGATTTCCATGCTTGGTAGAATTTAGTCAGCCCTTGATTCATTCTAACTTTTTCCTGACGTCCGAGAATTACGGGTGGCTTGCACCCACAAACTCTGGCACCTGGAGGCTTTTAACAATACAGTGGTACCTCAGGTTACAGACGCTTCAGGTTACAGACTCCGCTAACCCAGAAATATTACCTCGGGTTAAGAACTTTGCTTCAGGATAAGAACAGAAATCATGCAGCAGCGGCGCAACGGCAGCAGGAGGCCCCATTAGCTAAAGTGGTGCTTCAGGTTAAGAACAGTTTCACGTTAAGAACGGACCTCCAGAATGAATTTAGTACTTAACCTGAGGTACCACTGTATATTATACCACAACAGTCTCGGGAAACTTTGGCAGCAGACTAGTGAAAAACAACAACACATTCTTAGTCTGTCAGAAGTTTGGGGGAAAACTATCCAGTCTTTACTCAGGGGTCAGCAAACGTTTTCAGCAGGGGGCCAGTCCACTGTCCCTCAGACCTTGTGGGGTCCCGGACTATATTTTGAAGGGGGGAAAATGAACGAATTCCTATGCACCACAAATAACCCAGAGATGCATTTTGAATAAAAGCACACATTCCACTCATGTAAAAACAACACTGATTCCCGGACCGTCCATGGGCCGGATTTAGAAGGCGATTGGGCCAGATCCGGCCCCCGGGCCTTAGTGTGCCTACCCGTTCTTTACATGGCACTGAAAAGAAAGCAAGGAAGGTGCTAGGCAGACCTTCAGCAGAGACAGACCTTCTCCTCAGAGCGCTACAATTCCCAGTGTTCCCTTTGATTAATTATCAAACCGTTCTGGGAACTGTAGCTCTCTTGAGGGGAATAGGGAATCCATAACAACTCTCAGAGCTCTTAACAAACTACACTTCCCAGAATTATTTGCAGGAAGTGGTATGACATTGCTTTAAATGCATAGAGTAAATAGGGGACGTGAGTCGGAGCTTACAGCCATAAACTCTCCTTGACCATGGGTGCTCCTGTCCCCACAGGAGTCAGGCCTTTCACCACTTTGTCAAGGTGACGCTGACCAAGAACCCGAAGAAGCGGCCCACTGCCTCCAAGATGCTGACCGTAAGTATCCCAATCGCCTCCCCTCCCTTCTCCGCTCATGAGTCCCATGGAGGGGTGGGTTTTGTAATCAGTTTCCCGCTAAAACATCACATCCGAGGTGGCTTAAAAGCCTTCCAAATGTGCATGGAGGTGGGTGGGTGGGTATAACCACACCAGGTACAGTCTTCATTTCAAGTTTCTCTTGCATTGTGGAAGAGGCAAGCTGTACTTTGCAAAAGCTAAGCGGCTTGCCTCTTCGGCATAATGTCGGAAGCTGTAAATATGGCTATCTCCCTCTCCACCTGCCGTGGCTCTGTCCCTAGGATGGATTCCAGCTATCTCCAACTGACCAGTGGTGTAGCGTGGGGGGTGCAGGGGGGGCCGGCCACACCGGGCGCAACATCTTGGGGGCGCGCACTAATCTAGTGGAAGAGACTCGAGTGCTAAAATCCACGGGTTAGGGGGCGCAAATTACTTGCCTTGCCCCGGGTGCTGACAACCCACGCTACGCCACTGCAACTGACCCCTTCCTTTCACCAGCACCAGCTAGTTTCCCAGGAAAGGCTCAGCCGCAGCCTGACCCTCGAGCTCCTGGAGAAACTGCGCAACCCTGATAAACTTTCCAGCTGCAGAGGCGAGCCGGATGAAGAGGAGCAAGAGGTGAGAGCGGATGGGATGAGGTTGCAGAAGGGCAAAGAAATGAACATTGTGGGGTTGCACTTTTTTGCTTTCCTTTTTTTGTGGTGCCAAAAGCCTCTTCTGTTGTGCCCATGACGAGACCCCTGTTTTCCCCACATGTATGTTGCAGTTTCACTATAAAGCCAATAGACACCGGTCTGTATTATGGATGTGACAAACAGCTGAGGGTTTTCGTTCTGAAGCGAAACATCTCTATTTGCAACTGCGGAAAAGCGTCCTAAAAGCAAACTGGTTTTATAAGCCACTTAATGCAGGAAGGATGAACTGTGTGCAATAGTCAGTTGTGCAATAGCAAGCCAGCTAGCATTGAGATGGGGAACAAAGATGGGCTGGCAAAGGATAATAATAATAATAATAATAATAATAATAATAATAATAATAATTTATTATTTGTACCCCATCCATCTGGCTGGGTTTCCCCAGCCACTCTGGGCGGCTTCCACAAAGACCAAAAATACACTAAAATGTCACACATTAAAAACTTCCCTGAACAGGGCTGCCTTAAGATGTCTTCTGAATGTCAGGTAGTTGTTTATCTCTTTGTTTATCTCAATGTCTCCCAAGGCCAAAAATGACCCCCACTCTTGGGGTTATAAAGCAAAAAACACACACTAACTGTCCCCCCCCCTTACAATCTGTTTTCTCGACCACAGACACCCCCACCTCCAGTGCCCCGAAGAATTCGCTCCAGCCAACGGCAGGGCGTGACCTCACCGGGATGCACCAACTCCAGGGGTATGTCTGCCCCATTGCGCTCCTGTACAGGGGCCCCCATTGCTTCTCTCCTTGCCCCTCTCACCCCTTTGCATGCTAGGCTCGCACCCCCCTCTCCTCTCCAGAGGGCCCTCCTGCAAACTCCGCCCCACCTTCTGTCTCCACCCACCATGGAGTGACCCTTCTCAATAACTCCCTTCCTCTCATCTCATTGCAGCCCATGATTGCAGCCCCACGCTCAGGAACAGGCAGAGTCCGGAGTCCCCGAACTTCACGGTACCTCCTCACCCCTCCCTCCCTGTTCCAATTGATACACAGCTATTGTCCCCTTTGCCCCTCCAAAAGAAAGAAACGGTTCCTTTATTTCAGGCATAGGCAAACTCGGCCCTCCAGATGTTCTGGGACTACAACTCCCATCATCCCTGACCACTGGTCCTGTTAGCTAGGGATGATGGGAGTTGTAGTCCCAAAAGCATCTGGAGGGCCAAGTTTGCCTATGCCTGCTTTATTTAACCGCTTCGTATTTCACCTGTCGGCGGTTCAAATCCCCGTGACGGGGTGAGCTCCGTTGCTTGGTCCCTGCTCCTGCCAACCTAGCAGTTCGAAAGCACGTCAAAGTGCAAGTAGATAAATAGGTACCACTCCAGCGGGAAGGTAAACGGCGTTTCCGTGCGCTGCTCTGGTTCGCCAGAAGCGGCTTAGTCATGCTGGCCACATGACCGGAAGCTGTACGTCGGCTCCCTTGGCCAATAAAGCGAGATGAGCGCCACAATCCCAGAGTCGGCCACGACTGGACCTAATGGTCAGGGGTCCCTTAACCTTTTTTTATTTTACCCCTAACCCTGGTACCAGAGGGTCCCTGGATTTATCTTTCTGGGGCTGGGCTTACACCGGGGAACTCATCGCCCCTGGCTGGCCACAT